CCGGGTGTGTGCAATGGTCGGGTCTTTTCTGCCCGTGCATGCCCGCTAGGGGGCGCACGTGAGCAGGAAAAAAATGCTGCAGTGCCGTCCGTCCATTTTTTTACAACGGGCGGACTGCAAGTGGTTAAAAAAAGGGACAGAGGGGCGGAGCTTGGGATCGTGTAAGGCTGCTATTGGTAAGGCTACATCTCCCGCCTGTTTTTGATACGCGTAGCCGACTTCCCAGACCTGTTATAGGTTATGACCAATAGCGTAGCAGGAAACTAATGTGTGTGCTGGGGGTGGGCTACAAGGTAGACACCAATTTATGTGCTGGGGGTGAGATATAAGGGATAGACCAATGTGTGTGCTAATGGTGGGTTGCAGTGGGGAGACTATTGTGTGTGCTGGGGGTGGGATAAAAGGAATAGGCCTATGTGTGTGCTGCGGTGGGAATACGAGGGAGATACTAATGTGTGTGTGTTGGGGGTGGGATACAAGGAGGAGACCTATGTGCATGCTGGGGTGGGATACAAGCAGGAGACCTATGTGCATGCTGGGGTGGGATACAAGGGAGAGATTATTGTGTGTGCTGGGAGTGGGACACAGGACAGAGACCAATGTGTGTGCGGGGGGTGGGATACAGGGGAGAGATTAATGTGTGTGCTGGGAGTGGGAAACAGACAGAGACCAATGCGTGTGCGGGGGGGTGGGATACAGGGTAGGGACCAATGCATGGGCAATATGTATACTGGGTAGTGAGATACAACGGAGATACCAATTGTACAGGATGCCAGGGCTGGGTCCTGGAAGGACGCTATATTTCCCCTCTGTTTGGACTGTGGTCCCTTTAAGGGATGAGACGGGGTTAACTCACCTGCTGGAGGAAGTGTGTGTTTAAAAGACAGGAAGTGGTAGCTAGCAGGTGAGGAGGATGGAGAGTGGAGATTTGTGTACTGCTGTGGGCCTGAATGTCAGTATCCTTGTAGACATGTAGACTGGGAAAGTTACCCCTAAAGTTTGGGACGGTTTAACTGTGATTGCAGCTCCTGAAATCTTCAATACTGAAAAGTCGCTGTTTGAGTTTGCCAGCTGGTCAGTGAAGAGATGAACTGTTGTGCTATTTTGCTGCTGTAAAGCTATTTAAGTTAAAGGAGAACTATGAGGTGAGTGCTTTTCACTCACCTCATAGTTCTAGCCGACCTGTGACAATGAGACTGTCACAGGTCGGCTCAGTAGATCGGGAGGTGAGCGAACACATACCGGCGTTCGCTCCCCTCTCGATCCTGTCGCGGCTCTCTGCCGTGACAGGGGAGGGGCTGGATTCCCCCCTCCCCACTCCGATCCGCCAGCGCTGACTGGCGGAACGGACGGGGGAGGGGGCGGGTACAGCTGGCTCTGCCTCTAGATAGGCTCACTCACATCGATGTCGGGATCCGCTCCGGCTGCGGCGTCTCAGTATACCGCGAGCTGTAGCTTGCGGTATACTGAGCTTAGGGTGACGGGAGGACGCTAGTTTGTGTCCTCCAGTTAACCTAAGGAGAACTACGGGGAAAAGCCCTGACCCCATAGTTCTCCTTTAATAAACTTTACTTTATTTGCAAAGCCTGTGTCCTGCGATCCTGCTGGATTCCCCTAACGTCACACAATGTACGTGCTGGAGGTGTGATTCAAGAGAGACCAATGTGCTCTTTCCTGTCTTCTATAAATAAACTAAATGTTTGAAAGTCATGTGACCGTTTTCTTGCTTTTTCCAACGTTTGCAATAATTTCACTTCGTTCTTATATGTGACACATTTTACATTCTAGCACTACAGCTGCCACAACTATTCGTTTAGAAATACTGCGATAATAAAAGTGGAGGTAAGTAAGACCTCTTCCATTGTGGAGTAAATTGTGTCACACGTGTAAATATTGTGTAAAAATATTGCCTGAGGCGATTTTGCAATCGATTCATAAACACTTTACTAGCATTTACATGAATCTGTGACAAGTGCGCCAGTTCTTGCACGGGTGGGAGACAGATTTCTAATGAGTGTCTACAACACTCTGGGAGGGATAAGTGTCTACAAGATGTCTGCAGTGTTGAGTGTCTACAACACTTTATAAATTCCAAGGTAAGTGTAGACCAGTGCCAGCCAAATATTACAGAGGACCCCACTGGTAAAGTAAGACAATGGGCAGAATGTTCTCAGCAGCCTTGAGAATTAAATCATAACGTGTACTTGCTCACATATTATTTCTCTACTTTTGTTTACAAATTCGCAAATAATAAACAAAAAGATGCCAATGAAACAACGCTCATTGATACCCATCATTTATATGCATGATGATTGTTATTTTTGTCCCTGCATACCAGGTCTTATCACAGTCACACGGCGTTGTCCCAAACCTTCCATGTTCTGAGTGCTGGAAACTTTCACTTTCATTTCTCTCTCCTGCTCAATCATGGCGACTGCTGGTGTGAGAGCTGAGCTAGAATGTTCCGTCTGTCTGAATACTTTCACCGATCCAGTAAACCTGACATGTGGACACACTTTCTGCCGGGTCTGTATTGATTGTGTTTTGGAGACACAGGGGGTGTCTGGAGGTTATTCCTGCCCGGAATGCAGAGAAGAGTTTGTGGAGCGGCCTAAACTGCACAGGAACTTTGCTCTTAGGAAAATACTGGACACTATTTTGTTTACTGATCAGAAGGAGATCAGATTCCAATGCACCTACTGTGTGGACTCTCCTGTACCTGCCGTTAAGTCCTGTCTGTTGTGTGAAGCTCGTCTTTGTGAAGATCACCTCAACGTTCACAGCAAGTCACCAGAACACGTCTTATGTGACCTCACCACTTCCATGGAGAGCAGGAAATGCTCCATCCATAAGAAGATCCTGGAGTATTACTGCACCGAGGACTCCACCTGTATCTGTCTGATGTGCAGGATTGATGAAGCACATCAGAGACACCATGTAGAGATACTGGATGAGGCCTCTGAAAATAGGAAGAATGAACTAAGAAATGCCCTGGAGAGAATGTTGACAATGAGAGAGGAGACAGAGGAAAGAATCCTGAGCCTGCAGGACCACAAGAGGAAATCAGAAGAAAAAGCAGATGGTGAAAGAGAGAGAGTCATTGTCCTGTTCAGAGAGCTCAGGAGACGACCGGAAGGCCTGGAGAAGAGAGTCCTGAGTGAGATATCTAGGCATGCAGAGCTGGTCTCACTGTCAATCAATGATCTGATCCAGGAGCTGGAAATAAAGAAGGACGGGCTGTCCCAGAAGATGCATCACATTGAGGAGCTGTGTAACATGACGGATCCACTGATTGTCCTACAGGAATCAGACTCCGGCCACTTGTGTAATATCGTGGAAGGAAATTATAAGCATAGATGTGATAAACAGCTTCAAGGTGATCTGGACTCTGCTTGGGTCTCACACACATTACATGAAGGTTTATCTACTATAATGATAGAGGTAAATCCATATTTTTCTAAAGTAGAACACACCAGTATTCTAATAAAAAGCTACAAACGTAAAACATTTTAGTGCAGTTCTAAAATGGGTGATTGTTCCTACAAAGTGAGGGGATGTACACCAAGAAATAGGTTGTATTGAGTATGAGGATTTACTGTACATTCAAGTACAACAATTCCATTTGTACAAGTTGCAGTCATGTGGACTGCATTTTTCTTGTAGGCCCCTTTACACTTGTGATTACAATAACACATGTTAATGCAATTAAGGGGATTTCCCTTTACTTCCTGTCCTGGAGCCGCAACAGGACATTTCTAAAAAGTAAGGGAAATTGACCCCAGAACAGATGTCACTCATCCTCATCTTCTTTTCTGGTGTCAACAGTAATACTTCGGATTTTCCAGCACTTTCTGTCTTTCTGATGCATAAAGTTGAAAAAAAGGTTTTGGCCTTATACGCTTTAAGTGAGAATTTCTCCTCTGATTCTTGGTTATAATAATATCCTACAAATATAGAAATCCAATGTGCCGCGCTTAAACAAACAATAACAACCTTAAATAAAGTGTCCATCCAAAAGTAAGCAACAATGTAGAAAATAAAAAATAAGTTGGATCCCGTACAATCAGTGCCAAATATACAGTGTAATATACAGTGCAATATACAGTGCAATAGACGACAAAACTGAATGACAAAATAAAAAGATATGTTGAATTGGATTATTTTATCATTCAGTTTTGTTGTCTATTGTTACACTGTATATTTGGCACTGAATGGGATCCAACGTATTTTCTATTTTAACATTGTTTCTTACTTTTGGATGGACACGTTGTTTGAGGTTGTTATTGTTTGATTGTTTAAGTGCGGCATATTGCATCTATATTGTTTAATGCCGCAGCACATTGCATCTATATATTTCTAGTTTATTTATCTGGTGGTTGCTGAATATAGTGCTTGCTGCTCTTTTACTGGTTTGGCGTAAAGCTTTGTTATTTATAGTAATGTCTTGTTACAGAATCAAACTTTTTGTTCTTTAGGTAATCAGTGGAGTTGCTCCATGTCCAGCTGTCAGATTAAAGCCACGTATACATATATATATTTTCTTCATTCAACCTGCAGGCTGAACGCAGAAAATATAACCGACTCCTCCATCCATGATGAATAGCAATGATGGACGAATTCCCTGCTGTATGCTTCGTATTCTGATTGGCTGCAAGTAACGTTTAGCCAAAGGCTTTCCATTTTTCCTTGGCAAAAGTCAATGGAATAGGGTACACATGGAGCAAATTTCAACTGATTTCTGCTGAATCAGCTAAAACTCGCTTTGAGTGCTCCCTACTTAGGAAGGGATAAAAACGATCTATCTACTATATGTGTCTCATTATCTTATATATTCATATACTTTTATATATGTGTATATAGGTAGCAAAAATGATGCCAGCCTCCACTTGGTTTGCCATGTCTTCAGCCTTGCCATTGGAAGAGGTGAGAGGAACTTTAGATGACCACACTGGTGACACTTTTGAAGGTAAAGGTCACAATACAGTCTCATTTTACTTCTCTTTATTGATTATTTATTGGCCCTGTTCTTCGTGTAGTTATTCAGGACTAAACATTTCTGTTCTTCCCCAACAATATTTTGCACACCATTTTTTAAAATACAGCACTAAATTATGCCATATTTACTTGTTATTGGTGTTATGTATATTTGTAACTATCCCTTTCTATTCATGTCTGCACAGAATTAGCAGGTGCCCTCTCAAGGGCAAAGGTGACCTCTCCTCAACCTCAGCTCCACCCTAATCGTGAAACAGAAGCGGAGTCGTGCTTCAATCAGCCTGTGAAGAAGGTGGAAGAGAAGGAATCGTCCTCTGAGGAGTCAAAGGAAGAAGATGTATTTATCAGTGTGTTTCAGAGCAGGGGGGTTATCAAGGAGGAGGAGTCTGAGAAAGTTTGTTTTGAGGAGGAGGACTCTCCGGAAGTTTGTTTTCAGGGGGAGGAGTCTGAGGAAGTTTGGTTTGGGGAGGAGGAGCCTGAGGAAGTTTGTTTTGGGGAGGATGAGTCTCAGGAATTTTATTTTGAGGAGGAGGAATCTCAGGAAGTTTGGTGTGGGGAGGAGTCTGAGGAAGTTTGCTTTGAGGAGGAGGAGGACTCTCCGGAAGTTTGTTTTGAAGAGCTTGAGGAAGTTTGTTTTGGAGTGGAGGAGTCTGAGGAAGTTTGTTTTGGGGAGGAGCAGTCTGAGGATGTTTGTTTTGGGGAGGATGATCCTGAGGAGGTTTGTTTTGGGGAGGATGATCCTGAGGAGGTTTGTTTTGGGGAGGATGAGCCTGAGGAGGTTTGTTTTGGGGAGGATGAGCCTGAGGAGGTTTGTTATGAGGAGGAGGAGTCTCATGAAGTTTGGTATGGGGAGGAGGAGTCTCAAGCAGTTTGTTTTGAGGAGGAGGAGCCTCAGGAAGTTTGGTTTGGGGAAGAGGAGTCTCAGGAAGTTTCGTTTGAGGACGAGTAGTCTGAGGAATATGATTTAGAGGTGTAGGAGTCTGAGAAGGAGCCTGAGCATGCAGAAAAGTCTTCTTCTTCTCGGGAGTCTTAGGAAGAGGTGACAGTAAGAGAGTCTGGAGGTGTAAGCAAACTTGCTTTCTTAAACAAAAAAAACAAAAATATCTGCAAGAAATAAAATGGATAAAAGCAGCAAATGAAGAATAACTATACTTGTGAACATGTATCACCTCCACCACCTTTGCTCTCCAAATGCAGTTCATAGCCCCCACTACACACCTCACAGTAGTAAGTGACCAAGCTCCATAACCAACCAATGTAAGGGAGAATTTCACTGACCACCATTGTAAGGGGGCATTATGTTCTAGTTGTCATCAATTTACAGGGGCCCTTTTCCCACTGACCTCCAATGTAAAAGGACACTTCACCCACAACCAATGTAAGGGGGCATTAAGTTGACCAACGATGTAAGGGGAGCAATTTTCCACTGACCGTCAATTGGGCATTTGGCCACTGAAAACCAATATAATGGAGCAATACCATTTTTTTTTTTTCTATCCACATTTATTTTCTGGTCATTATTATTAATATTTGTTTCATTTATTTACTACTGGAGTTTCTCTATGTTAGAAATATTTGTTTCATTTATTTACTACTGGAGTTTCTCTATGTTAGAAAAGGTGAAGTAAGGTGAGCCTAGAAGTCTGCAGAGGCTTATTACTGACTTTGTTAGCAAACATGTTTTATCGTTATACAAAGTGGTGGGAGGATAAGACCCCTGCCTGAACCTCTTACCACTTTTGTTTCATCCCTTGGTATAGTTTAGTTCTTCTAAGGCTAGATTGCAAGCTGTGAGTTATGTCTGAGGGCCAGTTCACACCATATGCAGTTGTGATGCAGTCCGTTTATTTGACTGCTGCAGTCAAAATACATCACAATGCTTTCCTGTGGGCTTTCTTGTTCTTAATTCACATCATTGCAGTGTGAATTAAGCACAAGAAAGATCATAGGAAAGCATTGTGATGTATTTTGACTGCAGCAGTCAAATAAACGGACTGCATCACAACTGCATATGGTGTGAACTGTCCATAAGTGATTTCTTGAGACCAATTAGATACATCATAGGGGTTAATGTTGGCACCTTTTAGGGTGTCTGTTTACCTGCTGGAAAGATTTCCCCTCTCTATTTGTCCTGGTGACCACAGTAAAAGTGAGCAAAATGTAAAGAGGAACTTTATATCCCCGCCCCCCCATTACCTTGTGAGCAGGGGTTGAACTCATATAGCATAATTACCCTTTTAGAGAATCCAGAGTTACCCTGCTGTGATCTGTCCATCCCCTGCCGCATGCCAGGTCCCACACTGACATCTTGAAAAAGAACTGGTGCATGCACAGACAAGCCACAGGTCATCTGTACATGCGCCGCACACGCCACACATGTGCAGACCGCATTGTGGTCTGCACATGCATGGATTCAGACTTGCTGGACCATACTTTTTTTTTTTCTTCTCTATTTCTTAATTTTGTCAGAGGGAGGTGGGAGGAGGCAGTTGAGGCTTCGCTTTATAGATTGGTGAAAGTCACTTTAAATTGTCACTGGAACAGAAATATAGGTGAACTCTTCTATTGAGACTTGTTAAAGATGTCACCAACACACCATATTGAAGTGAAGAACACGTCTGTTTATTGACGCTTAATGTCAAAATGAATAGCAACATTTCGGGGCCACACAGGGTCCCCTTTATCAGGCTTGAAATGACGTCATCCGCGGTCACTTTGAGCACCCACGCTGACAGGGATACCCGATGAGGGATGCAGCAGGATTCTGGAATACATATCTTCTATTGAGGACACTTGTTCCAGTGATAACTGACTAAGAAGGATTCCACACACTCGCATTAAGAAATAAGGGCAAATCTCCCCAATGGCTCACAGACTGACAACAATAAAACCTGACAGGGGATTTAACCAGTCCCTTCACCGCCAAAAAAAATTAAAGAAAGAATGACTTTTAGTAGCATTAGCCTCCTGTGTTTTTTCTTAGTACTTTAAAACTTGTATTGAAAATGTTTCTTTTTGTTCTTTTAAGTTCATGTCGATTGTCATGTATTCCTCCAAGGTCATTATTTGTGCAATAATAATAAACTTTAGTGTTGCAACACATGAATTGATAAAAAGGAAAACATGTGAAACATTGAATTATGCGCTGTGGCCACTAGATGGTACTAAGAAATAAAATACTGTAAAAGGTGATAGTAGTGTAGTTGGACAACTACATTAACCACTCGCTGACCGGGGGGTTTACACCCCCTTTCTGGCCAGGCCATTTTTCAGTATTCAGCGCTGCGGTACTTTGACTGACATTTATTCCGTCATGCAACGCTGTATTGAAATGAATTGTATACTATTTTTTAGGGACAGATAGAGCTTTCTTTTGGTGGTATTTAATCACCACTCGGGGTTTTTTTTTAACTATATAATGAAAAAAGTACCACAGATTATGAAAAAAAAATCTGTTTTCCCTACCTGATGTTGTAAAACATTTATCAGCACCCAATTATGGGATAAAAATGGGGTCACGTCGGATAAATAGACACCAAACATGTTACGCTTTAATATTGCATGCGCCCGCGAAATCGCAAAAAACGGCCATGCCTAAAATTGGCCACAGGCGATGCTTTAAAAGCTTTTACCGCTCATCAGTTTAGTGTTATCGGTGATTGATGGCCCTAAAATTATTGCTCTCACTGCGATGTTCGCAGCGATATGTAACATAGGCGCACCCGGCGCGTATTTATGTTTATAAGTGTGTGCACGCTGGGGCGGGAGACTTAAAGGAGAACTATGAGGTGAGTGCTTTTCACTCACCTCATAGTTCTAGACAACCTGTGACAATGAGACTGTCACAGGTCGGCTAAGTAGATCGGGAAGTGAGCGAACACATACCGGCATTCGCTCACACAGTGGCGGAACTACCGCCGGTGCAGACGGTGCGGGCGCCCGGGGCCTCAGGGGATCAGGTGAGTATTAAAGGGTTATTAGATATATGCTAAACCCTGCTGCCCCCCCGGTTGTTACGCCACTGATCGCACCTATATAAGCTTGTTGGACATTCTTTCCAAAAACCTTGGCCAATATAATGGAGTTGGCTTCCCTTTGGGGCTATAGCATCCTTTTTATGATTTATTGCTTCGGATCTCCTGCAGCCCATTTGCAGCCACTTCCTGTCTGCATGCACTTTAGCAATGGCTGCATGGCATTTCTCAGGGCGGGTTTCCGGATGGTGACAACAGTGAACCATGTCTGTGTAATGTGTGTTAAGACAGTCACCTGTAGGCTCCATTGCAAGCCTATGCGACAGGGTGACAACGCTGGAGCACAAATGGCAGATGTTGATGAGCATTTTTACCCAATAACAGGAAGTGCTTGAGCAAGGGCCTTCATGTCAAGGATCACCAGGGATTATTTTAATAAACGCTGCAGATTTAACAACATTGAAAATGTCTTTTGAAATGACCGTGTTAAAGATCATATGAGATTTTAGTGATTGGATTTACATCTCCATGAACTCTAATCATATTGTTTTTTCTGTGAATAGGGCCATGTTCATTTTTTTCTTGCAAGATTCACTTGTAAGCTATTGAAATCTGAGGCCAGTTACAAAAAAAGAGGCAAAATCAATTTCAGCGAAACCGCTGCACTTGTCCTAACTTGCTTTTTTCTGGCATGACACATGATTTAGCATCGTCACATGTCTAAAAAGCACCAGAAAAGAATGTTATTCGTCGTACAAGGAAGAACAAATCAAACGACAGTCGTATTTTGTTGTAACTCAGATGACGGCGTGTGGCGTCATCCCAAAAGGAGAATTTCCCAGCGTGATTCATTACTCGAGAGAACTAAATACCTAGAAGAGGGATTGAGGATAAGTCGGCCTTCATACACTTCGCTAGATACCTTGAAAAAAATAATCAGATGCGCATTTTGTGAATTACCCGATTTGTTCAAAAAGCCGATCGAAAAACAACGACCTGCTAAATCGTTTCACAGCCATAGAAAGAATCTGAAAAACGAACTCTGGGAATTTAAAAAACGTACCCTAGAGGTGCCCATACACCTTACGATTATCGGAACTTTTCGTCCGTTGATCGATTTTCGTACGGCAGCCCCATCCTGCCCCGATGATCGCAAGATTAATTTAGCCGTAATTAACGAAAAGCACCTGGACGAAATGCGGTAATTGATTTGCCGTATTCTCGTTAGCGCAATCGCAGTGTAGATCGCACGACTTTTGACGGACAGAAACGCCAGCAACCTTACGACAATCGTACGATCTAGCAAAGTTTTCAAACATGCTTGACCGTCAAAAGTCGTACGATTGTACAGTGCAGTCGGTCGGACACTGCAATGCACACATACAATTATCGGCCGAAAAGTCGATGGCATACGAAAATCGTACGATAATCATAAGGTGTATGGGCATCTTTACAGTGGGGCTACCCCAGTCCAGCAAGGGTTAAGTGCTCATTTCGCCTAAGGGGCTCAAATAATATATACTCACCTGTTCCTCTGTCCTGCAGGGCTGCTGTACTAGTCCCTGCAGTCTCTTCTCCCCCGGGCACCCGTGGTCTAAAGACCGCTGACGTCATCACATCTTATGCAGGTCCATTGGCTTGCATTAGATGAAAGGACTTTGAGAGACATTGCATATCCAGCGCAGAGGGGGAGAGAGGTGAGCGCTGACCGCTGAGGATCAGGTGAATAAATCTGCTTTATTTAAAGTGACATTAAAATCAAACTTTTTTTTTTGCCCCTTCCCAATCCTGCTGTAAGGACTTACCTTAAATGATGCCTCTTGATCCGATCATCTTCTTCTTTACTGTACTTTTCAGCTGTCCCTCCAGCGCTGGGGCGGGTCTCCGATCCAGCGCTGACTCCTCTGTGCTAGCTGGCACTTCCTGTCCCACGTAATCTGTGCGAGTGCAAGCTGTCCATAGACTTACCTTGTGC